GTCCCCCTGAAATACTAACGCAACTTGGTCAGACGTTTATCATACCAACCGCGTGCGATTTGCAGATTTTGATAAACTGCAGTTCAAACTACGTGATGTACTTCGGTCAAATGCTTACCCAGAAGCTTTTATTGATAAACATATTCGTGTGAAGACCAACACGAGCAAGAGCCCAACCGTTCCTGGCAAGAACGTTTTCCTTACCATGCCGTTTAAGGGAGACGATGCCCTGGAGCTTCTCGAAGAATGTTTGTTCAAAGTGATCTCCAGAACGTTTCCCGCAGCTCAACCGTATGTCCTCACTATCGCTCGACGCTTGGTGTCCCAGCAAATAAAAGATAAGTTGCCTCCAGTGCAAATTCTTCGTTTTATATCTTTTCACGGGGATTTTGTGAACAAATTGAATGCATTTAAAATTATTTACGATCGTGTGGCACCCTGCAAAATCCGTCTATGGGAAAACGACATGGAATGGACAATACTTACAATTTTCTAGATTCGATTCTGTGGAACACAAAATAGGTCTGGGGAAGACTCTGTTCCATCGTTATATTTGCACTCCTGATACTCTTCGAAGAAGGAGAGGCTGTTCTACGAAGGACGCTACCGGATACTGGTTATCCAAAGAAATTTATTGACGTGCATAGCAGACGGAAAACATTGATTGATCCCGTCTGTGAAGTACCAAAAAACAGGGTCTTCCTCTGAATCGCCTTCCAAGGTGATCATTTAATAAACGATTTGCGTTGAAAGATCGGAGCGGCATTGTTCCGAACGGTTCCTGCCGCACAGATTCGATTGATACCGCATACCCGAGGAATTCGCTTGGACAATCGAAAGCAGAATCAGCCGTACGCCCCTGCTTCTCATGGCGTCTATCAGTTCAACTGCAGTTGCGGTGACACTTACATCGGCAGAACAAATCGGCCGCTCTCACAGCGGATGTCTGAACACATTCCCAAATGGTTCGCACAATCGATGACGCAACATAACCTTAGAGTTCAAACTGATCAGAGGATTCTAGGATCCTCAATCGCAAGATATCTCATGACAATTGGGTACATCGTTGACCCACATTTATCGTTCAAGCGGTTATTAAGTAACACGAACACCAGGATCTTGGCTTTTAGGGAGGCGATGCTAATCAAGTTACGTAACCGAATCTTGTGCGCACAATGTTTTCTTACACAATCAGTCAGACTTTCATGGAGTTGATATTCCGCCCCACCCTGCCCCCTCTACTCTGAGTGTTGTCCGTTGTTCCACTGTAGTTGTCAAAACTTGCTTGTGTAAATATCAGATTGTTTTATATTTTTGCGACTAAAGAGATTAAAATAAATGTTAACATTTTGCAGTGTTTGTCTTCTCTCGGTTGTAATGTATTCACAACCTGGAGATATTCTAAGGGGCTAGGAAGGTGACTTTAAACCACGGCCGAGGCGATTTCAATTCGCATTTCTAATCCAGAGTTATGTAAGCAAACAAATATGTTTGAGATACTGTTGTTTCGGTGTTATAAAATCGCCTTGATAAAGGTTGCCCACGATAACCGAAACATCGGCTTATTTTCACCTGTACCGACATTGCTGTGTCCATTTGACCTTTGTGTTCTCAACCCCCCCCCCTCCACCCACGACTATCATTAGCTCTATCATATCCGTTTGCCCTGTTTGCTCTACCCTGTCATCGTTATTAACTGAGCTCTAATCGGTCAATCAGAGATCTGTACTGTGATCATATGTAAACGCCTGATGCGACATATCGAAAAGAATTTCTTCCCGAACACTGTTTTCTAAACCATATTATTAATTTAGGACCGGGTGATTGATTGCATCATAGGATGACAGGAAGGGGACTTTATAAGAAAGATCAACTAAGATAGGGAGAAATAGGAAAAGCTCAACAGCTTCGGCTGGTTGGTTTAGATGAATGAACCATAATACAGCAAAGATGACGGAATGCATTGCATCTATTTTGTTGTTGCCTACGGATTCAGCATACTGTGAAACAATAATGCCTTCTATCGACGTCAAACCACAGCACATGAAGTGATGAAATCCCATCAGTAAAGATTCTAGTTGATGAGATAAAAATTCGTTTTTCTCTCAATGGATGAAAATGTTCAGAATTTGGAGGCACTTTCACGATTTCTCATCATCATAGAAAAAAATATATGTTGTGTGGACTGGCCAACGCAAATGAAAACGTACTATGTGGTAGTTGCTTCACCTCATGGTGGACCTAAATCGAAACCAGCTTTCTACTTCGTGGAAAGGACACAAACAAACATCTGAGAGTACTGCAAATTTGTCTTTGAACTGTCCGTGTCAAAAAGACAGGAATCTCAGTAAGCTGATAGAAATATCACTGATGACTGTTTTGCTGTTTTCTTATATTTATTGGAAGTGGTTTCGGGAGGTGTGATGTATCGACGAAAGTGCAGTCACGTCACTATGTCAATTAGATTTAAAATTATTGGATGCATTGCAAAGACGTTTCATGTTTGGTGCGATTCTGTAACTGTGCGCATACAACGAAGTCACTGTGATTCAAACCGGGACAAGATGGGTTATTGATTTGGAGATCAGTATTTCAGTGTGACCAAGTTCATTTTCCGGTATGCACATCAATAGACTTGTGCCACGGTCGTGGGAAATGTCTTGGTGTCACCACAAGTAACATGATTTATTTAACGGGTTGATTATCTTGAAAACGTAAAAGGTTTTTTTCAAGTGTCTCTTATCATTTGGGTAAATATTCATCAACAGTGGAAAACAATTCAACCCACCTACGATAAAATTAATCTGCCTTTTATCGGACGCAGAATAAAGGTTCAAAGAAAGAACAATGAGATGAGGTTGCATCCTATAGGCTTATAATACTGAGTGGGTGTACTTTACGGTTATACTTTTTAAGTAAAAGAATTTTATTTTTGTAGGATGTAAAATTAAAGCATACTTATAACGTTTGAAGGAAGGAATTACGGTGGGTATCTGCAGGGAACAGCCAAATCAAATCTTTCCCAGAAGCTATTCACCTTTGTTTCTGCATCTTATTTTAGTGGTGGAGATGGAGTGATACGGATTCCTAAAACTTTCGTTCAACTACGTTATGCTACAAATACCCTATTACCAACTGACCCCCTAATTACTGGTTGTTCCCCAGGCGTTCTCTTACTGTCCATAATCCGTTAAGGGAAAAACTGATCATCGAACTGTTTATTCAATCATTATCATGATTGCACTTATAAAGGTACCATATTCAGAAATATTTCGAGGTAATCTTTCGATATAGACTGTATTTGGATTATTGTCAGACCCCAACATCATCAAACATAAAACGACCCCTGGTTGTTTATCATTTGTAAACATATGGATTAGAAGTATTAGCACACTTTATTGGTCAATTGACCTTAAGCAGGTATAAGACAACACCGCTTACCGTTCTAGTTTCGATCAATGGACCCAATAGAAATGCACTATTATTACTTGGGCTTAGAATAGGACTGTCAACAATATATAACCATTCCGGTTAGTCTGTAATTCATTCCAAATGCTTTGCATAAAAGTTCAGATCATTTGTTCTGTCTCAGTCTACATTCTCCGTCATCTCTGGAATTCGAAAAACTGGTGTGATGATTGTGGGTGAAATCCGACCACTGAACTAGAATATTGATTTCCAGTACAACAACAATCATTCTTTCAATTCGAAGAGCATATTTATTGTCGAAATAGTTCAGAATTCATACAAAATTGTACTTGGGATAGTGTCACGTAGATGTGTGGACTATTTCTGCATAAAATAAAACAATGATGTGAACTCATTTGAAAAACAAACTGACGAAATTGACCTCTTCCATATCACTTTAATCTTTTGAATGCGTCGCATGATGACGTGTTTGTCTCGACGCGTTCAGGAGCGTCATCCGTGATGTGTGAACCCGAAGAAGATTAGGGTTCTCAACGGCGAAATCGAGGAATAATTCGTAGACAAAGGACACGGCGTGGAAAGCGAGAAATGTTTCAGTTGCATACCGCGTTGCATACCACTCAACAAATTGAAGGTTGCCCGGGTTTGGACACTAGCCATGTCCGAGGAGAGCACCATTCACTCACCAAACTCAAGAGCTCCAGAAAGACCAGTTCACACATTTCAACCATCTTCGTCTATAATGAATAACTTAACAGAGCATAACATGTCGTTTGAACTAAATGGAGAAAAGTCACAACACAGAAAAAAGCAAATCTTTCTTCCACGAATAAAACAATTGCGTGGACCATCATCCTTGATCTGCAAATGCTGAGCTTATACCAAGACAATGGTCTATAGTTTTTTAGGCGCTCTTCCACCGTACTATCTTGAAAAGTGTGAGTAGGGAGCACTGAAAACAATTATCTGTCCGAAACATGGGTTTGCACAATGTATCCATGGTCATTTCGCTGCATCTGTACACGTGCATACTACAGTCAAAGTCATTTTATATAGTCAGTGAGATAACTACCGTGAAATGAAGACATGATTGCTAATTACAACGCACAACACGACACAGTGTTCTGCGTTGTGATTAGCAATCATGTCTTCATTTCACGGTAGTTATCTCACTGACTATATAAAATGACTTTGACTGTAGTATGCACGTGTACAGATGCAGCGAAATGACCATGGATACATTGTGCAAACCCATGATTCTGACTTCTCTATTCAAATTTGTGACAGGAAATCATTGCTTCCAATTATCTGTCCACCGACTCGTTTTCTGAATGTTATAACTATTTGAGGAGTACAACTGAATTATCAGAGAACTCCTTGCGGTATATGATGGTCAGCACGATCTAGGTGTACGTTTTACAAATCCCATTGAGTACACGTGTCATACGTGTGCTCTGTGAATGAAATATTCCTAACAACCTCCCCAGGAGCAAAAATGAGGATTATTTTGTAAAAGTACCGTGCCCTAAGGATTATTAGTATTTTCATTTGTTTTTTCTTTCTTTCTTCAGAACCTGCTCGGATTCTCCTTACTTTTGAGACTACCAATGAAGTGTATTTTGTGCTACGCGAACAGCTGATTGATTCACTTCGTGGTTCTCGCAACGGTGCACACAAGGGGGCAGAACCTGAGGGGACCGTATCTGATGTGGCTCGTTTGATACGGATCTGCAAAGGAGATCGCGGTGGGCTTCCACAACGAAGTGCGGAGACTTTTGGTACATTCGCCAAGGCCGATTTGCATTGTGCCGCGGCAGACGAGTCAGGTGGTCATTTCACTTACACACATCTACAAGCAGTGCATTGGGAGAACACTACAGAACGACTGTTTGCGTCATTTGGGACGGAAAGGTATGTCCATGGGGTTCAATTATTTATCGCGTATTAACCCATTGATTATTCGTCCAAAGCCCCGATGAAACTTTTATCGACAATGAAAAGCTGTCTGTTTTCCGTGATATTGTATGGTGCCAGTACGTGACATGCACAAAACATGTATCAAGGTCAACTTAACCGTACTGAGGAACTAAACTCAATGGGTTCTGTAGCACCATTTAAGTCCAACTAGAAAGAAAAGTCAACATTTCCACGATCGTTTTCAGTCAGTGTTACAGTTAGCACGACGAATGGTGGTTAGATCATGGGGCGCTGACGTAAATCCAACCGTCACACCCAGCCCAATCATCGTTATTAAAATTTCGGAAACTCAGCCTTGCAAATCCAGATTAAATCAGCCACAAACCTGACGTGCACACAACAATGATTCTTCCTAACCAGGATGACAGACCTGCTCAGGGTTTCCAAGGCTTAAATTTAGGGGTATGACATGTTCAAACTTCACAAAGACCACTTAACTTATTATAAACCATGCAACAGAGTTAGTTATTTTAGAGTAGCAAGCTTGGATTAGACCGTTCGATTGTTTAATAGTCACCAGGCAATCTTGATAGTCTTTGCTGTGGGTATCACCCCTTGGGATATAGTTAATTTGTTAGTAATATTCGAAGAAACCGACATGGTTCTACTTTTGCCATCGCACCAAAGCACGATGATTAGCAATTAGGGTTCTTGCTATGCGTAGGTGTTTACTAAGAGACAACACCAATAAGCCTGTCTGAATCCGGGTATTGTCTCTATTCGAACGCTTGTAACTACACTATTATCTCTGGGAATGAGTAATGTGACCAAAGCATAAGTTGATCATGAAAGGGGAAAAATTAGATGTTGACTGTGATCACTAAATACAGATGTATTCGGTTTAAAATATCCCCGGATGTAAAAGCATTATGCCTTTATCGTGCGAACAGCACTTAAAACAATGCTGTATGAAATTAAGGATGAATTAATGTCTGGATACAAATACTTACACTCTCTCTATCACTTTTCATTCTGTCCGTCCCTCAGAATGTTGTTCACATACACACATGCACTGATTGATGTCAGTTGGAAGAAGGAGCATTCTTTGGGTTGATATACCAATATCCCTTCGTGGTTAACGTTGAAAATTTAACTCGTAGAGGCCTAGTTATTCATACGTATAATAACAGAAGGAAAATACTAAGTGCTCAAAGATGCATTGAGTGTTCACTGAAAACGAGCGAATGGGACAGAGAGAGAAGGGAAGAACAGCTAAAACTACCGCCATACGCACGATCCTTATCTTTTGTCGACAAAGTAGTGGCTTTTGAGTGTCGGTAAGTGGGGCTTCACGGAAGGGAAATAACTTGGAATTTGGAGTACGTAATCGTTGATGATGGGACCAGCTCAAGTGGGCTTCATTTACTATAATGTTCATCGTTGCTGTGTAAGCCGAATGTCTTCCGGTTCGTTTGATTATTTTTTTCTTCGCTCGTACACTCTGTATATGATGTTTTGAGACCAATTTGTTTGTGAAAATAATTTGCGTATTTTGTTCTAAGCGTAATTTGGGCATTTGGTTGAGGCGATCTAGAGTCGATTTCAAGATGCGGTTTATTTGAATGAGAAAATTAGTGCTTCCTTGCGCGAGAAAGTTCACAAATTGCTTTTCTTCTCATATGTTTCGTTTTTTTGTCTCTGTTTGCTCTAATGACTGCTAAAAGTAGAAGAACACTTCTCTCTTATGGCAACTGATCTGAGTTGCCCAATACACATTTGTAAGATAGTTAGGCGGGAAATGTCACCTACATGTAAAGCCCACTCCCAGTTGTTTCACAGTGAATTCACCTTTATAGGCTTCCGCCAGGGAAGCTAGTCATTTGTAGACCCCAAAAGCTGCATTCAAGCTCATGGGATACAGTCTCATATCTCTAACAGTATCGGTGACGACTGAAAAAATGTATATGGCTCTAAATAAATAAGGCTTTCATAATGATCATGAAACACTCACGAAGCACTTTGTCGCCTGAGAGAGACAATAATGAAGTATTTCGTTATCCGATAATTGATCAGTTTGACAGCTAAGTTCAGATGAGTAAATTCTGTCACTGGTTTGTGCTAAATCAGAAAAGAGCCTAACCGGTTGACCCAAATACAAATGCGCTTCTGACAGCCCCCGACATAAGGTCATCTATTCGCAAGAACCTCACTAAGGTAGTAAGAGAGCGATTTAACACTCATTATTATAGTCGTTTTGGAATAAACAATCTCGTCATTCTCGGTCTGTATCTATCAGGGTACATTGTGTTTCAGGTATCGATCCTAACAAATGTGCCTATGGATCACAATGTGCTCCAGACAGCAGTCTGTATTCACTCGAGTCACAACAAATATTAGTCGATAAATCGCTTGCGATGGTTGCGTTTGACGAATCGAAAACCAGAAGTAGCCGCTTGTACGCACACGCACAGACCGGTTGAAGATCTAACTAGGAGCGATAAACCCAGTCGGAGTCACGTGAAAAAGAACTGACTAATAATGGTGTTCTCTCACTTCAACTGCTCACTCCAATCGTTGTCTCCGTTGCATGTTTAGTGAGCAATTCAAATTGCTTCTGAAAATATTATAATGTATATTATTTATATAATATCATATATTATAATATGTGGGAATATTTTCTAATTATCTTTTGGCCAGTGAATTATCGCAAACCTATTCAACAAAAACTTAAAATAGGAGTAAATTCAGAATAGAAGTCAATCTTTTCACCACCGATATAAATCGATCATAAACTCTAACTAGGCTGGATCATGGGCATAACGAAGAAAACCAAGAGAACCGGTCACATGAAACTGTCCTGTTTATCGCAACATCTATTTTCACTCCTCATTCAACACCGTATGATCTGAAAGGTGTGTGCGTTAGTTAAAAGCACCTGTAAGACTTTTGCACCACTTTGGGAGGAGTCGGGTTGAATGGGACTCTTTGCATATGCGAATGCGCAGGCACTTTGACCTGAATCTAACGGGCATATTACAGCTTGCAAACCACAACAAGTTGATGCACACAGAATGATCTCGAATCCTAAACTTACAACCCATGTCTAACGATCCGAGTCACATATATGTTTTTCTTATCTTATACGTCCAGTGACATTGTTGTTAATAAAGACCGTTTATTACTAAGTCCAAAGAACGAACTAGACTCACGTGGAATTAGGGATTGGTGACCATTCTCTCTTAAAATGTTTTATATTCATGACACAACCAGAATCTAACGCTTATTCAGTTCAACAACAGACTGTATGCATTCTTTTACCCTGTTTAACATTTATGAATACCTATAGGCTGGCTTCAGTGGGTTAGTGAGTGGAGTGCCTGTGATACGTTAATTTATTCTGTATCAGTCATAAGACGATGAGCTACAGGAAAACAATATTAATTCTATAAGACAACACATGGGAATACAATTATAAAGCGACTGAAATATGATTTAGTTCTTAGGTTGTTGAATTATTCCGGTGTAGAATATTACGCCCTTACCCTGGATAGGTGGAAAGGTATTTTTTAATCGGTTGATCTTCTCCACTAATTGTATCTCACATGATCACCAGCAGGTCTTTTAGTAGCACTCCACCTAAAAAATGTCAATTAAAAGCTGATCGGTATCAATACATACTAACTTCTTTTCACCTTAGATCTGACAGTTTCATTGTTAAAGATAAAACAGTGTTGACGCTTCCCAGAAAGCTTATCAGGTTGGATGCAATGTAATTAGTAAAACTTTACACTCCGTGATGTTCTTCAAACTTTCACAAGGATGAATTTGTTTGATGTAATTCTTAAATCACAGCACCAAAAGTCAGTCGCTAGGGATCGTTAACTTGACATGAATAGAGTCGGCTGTTATGTAGTGGAGATTGCACAAGTAATGCAAACATTAGAACAGAACATATTTTGTTGTGGTATCCATTTACCTCTTTCACATTTATATTAACTCAAATCACAAACATGGGTTGACAGATTTGGTCTCCAGCACTGCAGTGTAATTTATTTCTCCACAGACCTATAACAGCATGGAAGATATAATTCTATGAGAGGTTTGCTATTAAAACAGAATATGTTGATGCAGTTGGAAGAAACAAAAAGTTTTCGATATTTCGGACGATACCATGTGATGAACTTTCGGAAGCCTAACTTGATTAAAGTGGAAGGCCGACCAGATTAGCAAGTCTCAAATAGCTAATTTGTTCAAAGATCAAAGATTTATTATGGGAATAACTTACAACCCCAGGCTTTTCTCGTCCCATAGATTCGTGTGGTAGTTAAAAATCAGTCATACACACAATTCCTTGTAGAAAATTTCACGTAATACGTGCCTCTTACACTGCTGCACGCAGCTTCATTTATGTTGAAATGTAAGGTGTGCTAATGTTTCATCGAGTCTCAGTTTGAAAGATTCAATGCTTGGAGCACAGACAATGTAGAATTAAAGAGAGTTCCAGATCAAACATACTCTGACTGCAAACGACCGACGCCGGCATTTCAAGCAGCGTTTTGAGACCACTAGTTTGAATGGATGTCCTCGAAGATGAACGTTGGGTGATAATTTCAGAAGCGGGCGACACGGATGGCTTGGGTTTTGCATTATTTGGTATACAATAATCGTATCTCCTCTGATGCACCGGTAGTGATTGGAATATAACCCCAGTGACTTCAATCTCTCTGCGTATGAACACCGATTCAATCCCCTGACCATTTTGGTGGCCATCCTTTGTGGACGCTCCAGCACTTTGCAATCACGTTGTAGCCATGGATTCCATGCCTAAATAGCATACACTGTGAGTGGGCGAATGTATACTGATAGTAGACGGAGGAAAAGCGCTGACTCAAACCGGCCAAAGACCCGCTTAAGCAAACCGACATTCTTTACAGCTGCGTTGGAAACCTTGGTGCAGTTGAGTGAGTAACTTACGTTTTTTTGAATGATGATGC